GGGGTGAGTGATTATGTGATGAGAATGAAGGTATTTGGTATAGAATTTTTTGATAACCCTCTCATTCCCGGATAAGTTACGAAGATAAAAAAATACATGGTTTTTATTTCTGAACTTCCCTGTATATTTAGTTGAAGACACGAAACTTGGTAAATATCATGTGTTAATAAAACTACACATATTGAAATGTTTTACACCCTGAAGTATGCTTGTAGAAGGGGTTATTGGAATATATTCATTTCACAATTTAAAAAAAAACAGCTGAAAAGCCCAATCCATTTACTAACTAATTGTTGATCTCTGGAAAAGCATTCGCCATGTGTTTATTAAAAAAAAGTGTTCATAAAAAAAGTTGTAAAAAAAATATCTTAGGCGTTGAATATTTCAAGCCCTTCTGAGCATACTTCAGGGTTGAAAACACTCCAAAATGGGTAGTTTTCTTGATGAATAATATTAACAAGTTCTGTGCCTTTAGTCATATACAGAGGAAATGAAAAATAAATAACCATTTTTCTAATTTTGAGAAGGGTGTTATTACTATTCCGTGAAGAGATTTTTCAAAAAAATGCATACCAAACGCCCACCTCAATTTTCATCACGAAATCACCATTTGAAAATTTTCTCTGTTATTTAGATACACCCTGTAGATGCACCTCATTTTTTTCAGTACTTACTTATATCTACCCATCTGTCAAATGGAAAATCCAGAAAATACTCGTGTTGTTGAAGATACAAACGTGACAAAGAAATAAATAAGAGATTGAAATCAGCTGATTAACTCAGATGTTGACAAATTCAGTATCTAGTTCTTTCAACTTTTGTAGCACGCCCAGAGCAAAGGTGAGTGAATTCAATCAAAATTTTCATATTCTAGTATTTGCTATGTTATAATCATTGCAGATCCTGTTGAATTCATCACCGCTACCGTTCAAGAGAAGAAAAAAAGTCATATGATATGATATATAAAGTGCAAGCTTCAAGTATTTTACAAACCTACATCCTGTATGTTGATTTCTATCTTTTACATAATAAATTACATTTCATACAGATATTTCATTCTAGTAATGATTGAAAAGCATATTCTATGCATATACAAAAAACATATTCCTAGTATATGCCACCAATCTCTTTTGGAAGATTCACAGATATTCCTGGCATATGTTTCATGGTGACCTTGGATATTCCTGGAATATGCATATCATATGTTTTGGAGGACATGGAATATCCATGGCATATGGCAATAATCCAATGCAATATGCATAGGATATTCATGGAATATGATTGTGCCGTCTGGGTAGATCATCGATTCTACCAACCTTGGAGTAATCAAATGATGTCAATATGTTCTCATATTTGTAATTAATTTGAAGTGAATTTGGAAGTGATTCCTACGAATTCGTCCAAAATTGATGGTGCATAAGAACTGACAACTACATTATTCGAACGCAGTGAGACGTGAGTGCTTCCCAATTCTTGTGATTCTTTCTATATATAGGGTGAACTATCTCATTCATATCCATAGTTGATATCTTATGGATGTCCATAATGAATATCTTCAAGACATCCAAAAAGGTCACACTGTCACATCCTATGGACGTCCATAGGATATACCAGAGCCTTTTCGGATATCTTATGGACATCCACAATATCCATGATGGATATCCATAGTATATCCATAAGATGTACTTGTGCTATCTGGGATATTGTAGCTGCTGTCTCCAAATTTCGACTATTCAGCACAATTGATCTTCGTAGTGCATATCATCAACTACCGATCAAAATGGATGACAGGCGATATACTGCTTTTGAAGCTGATGGTCAGTTATTTCAATTCACAAGAGTTCCATTTGGAGTCACAAATGGAGTAGCATATGTTTCCAAAGAGTTATTGATGAAATAATTAAGAATGAAAAGCTGACCGGTGTCTTTGCCTACTTGGATGATATTACAGTTTGTGGTGAAACAGAAAGAGAACATGACGAAAATCTGAAAGAATTTTTAATAGTGACACAAAAATACAACTTAACAATCAATGAAACAAAAAGCACCTTTTCTACAACAGTTATCAAGTTACTTGGATACTTAATTGAAGATGGTTCTATCAAACCTGATCCCTCGAGATTAGAACCTTTGACTAACTCACCAGTTCCAGAAGATTCTCAATCATTACAGAGAGTTATAGGTATGTCTTCACATTACTCTAGATGGATTCCTCGATTCTCGCAAAAAATACACAATTTGGTGAACACAAAAACATTTCCTTTGTCATCTTCTGCTATTTCTGATTTTGAGAACATCAAAACATATATCATTCACTCTGTTGTGATGTCAATCGATCCAACTATTCCTTTCGTTGTGGAAACTGATGCATCAGATCATGCTATAGCTGCCTGCTTGAGTCAATTGTAGAATCTCTCAAGAAATGGCGACACTACTTAATTGGAAAGAAGTTTACTTTAATTACAGACCAGAAATCTGTTTCCTTCATGTTCGACATGCAGCATACTAGTTAAAAAATAAAAAACGAGAAAATCTTAAGATGGCGACTAGAACTTTCATGCTATAACTTCGACATTGCTTATAGACCAGGAGTTAGAAATACCGTTGCCGACACTCTCTCCAGAATATGTGGATCTACAAGCAGTGACACATTATTTGACTTACACCGAGCTTTGTGCCATCCTGGTATCACACGTATGTATCATTGGATCAAATCAAAAAATATGCCGTATTCAATCGATGATGTTCGTAAAATGACAAGTTCATGTCCAAGTTGTGCTGAAATAAAACCAAAATTCATAAACAGGCATGGTAAACTTATCAAGGCCACTCAACCATTTGAGAGATTGAATATGGATTTTAAAGGCCCTTTACCATCATGTACCCGAAATATTTATCTTTTAACGATAATTGATGAATTCTCGAGGTTTCCATTCGCGTTTCCATGCGCTGATACATCATCCAGTACAGTTATAGCTTGTTTGAGCCAATTATTTTCAATCTTTGGTATGCCGTCATACTTACATACAGACCAAGGACCTTGTTTCATGTCGAAGGAACTGAAATCATTTCTTTATGACAGAGGAGTTGCGACAAGCCGTAGTACTCCGTACAACCCAGAAGGTAACGGTCAAATAGAACGCTACAATGGTATAATTTGGAAGACTATATCCTTAGCATTGAAAACAAAAGGTCTTAGAATAGATCAATGGGAGAAAGTATTACACGAAGCCCTACATTCCATACGATCATTACTTTGTACTGCGATCAATTGTACTCCACACGAAAGAATGTTTAATCATACGAGAAAATCATCGTTTGGACCAGCACTACCTAGTTGGCTTTCTGAACCAGGACCAGTTTTAATCAGGAAACACGTGAGGAAAAATAAATATGAACCACTTGTAGAGGAAGCGGAACTTATCGATGCGAACCCTGAGTATGCCCTAGTACGACTGTCAAATGGTCGTGAAACGAACGTATCCATAAAACATTTGGCTCCTCGGGGAAATCAACAATTACTATTTAGCAAAACTCAAACTGTCCAACGACAAACGGAAGAAATAGAACCGGATTTACCAACTCGAAGCAATATGATAGACGATCAAACAAGCATTCCAGAAGAACCAAATCTGATGAATCCAACTCAAACTGAAAATCCTGTTGAAGAGAGAAATTCAGGTGAAGGCAGAGCTACTAGAATTCGTCGGAGGCCCAGATATTTAGAAGACTATGTTTCGAAATAATACTGGGGGAAAATGTGGTGAAATCACTCTGTATTTCGTCGACTCGTTGTTGTGATCTTGTGTTGTCTTTTTTTATGTCCAAAAGTCATTAGTTGCAGAATACTTATGTCATGTGTATGCCAAGTTTTTCTGCTTAATAAAACCTAGTTTTGGAAGGTAATCTTTACAGGCAGGTTCACACCATACAATAAACCTTGTACGACTTGTTCATGCACACAACTGTACCTGATGTACCTTCAGAAAAATCTGAAAGCACAAAAAAAGTAGTCACAATGTATGTATATTATACCCAAATGGCACTCGATATTCTGGGGACGTCCATTTTATGTCCGATTTAGGTCTGAACGTCCGGGACCTTCTCAAGACGTACTGAAACCGTCCATTTTTAGACGTACTGGGTACGTACGATTCCGATGTACTGAGTACGTCCACCTCTGGACGTTATCGATTTGATTACAGCAGTAAAAATAAAGATCAATTAGTTAGAAACTGTGAGAAATCTATGAATGCAATAAATGAGTGGTTTCATGAAAATAGGCTCATTCTCAACAGAGAAAAACAAACATAATCTGTTTCAGAACCAAACTTTCCAGAGCAGAGAGGCTCACAGACATACATCACTGAAGAGACAATAACGGTTTCAGAACATACAAACTTCTTGATGGTCCATATAAATGAATTTCTGGATTGGACACAACGCATACTACAGATGCTGTTAAAAAAATCGACAAAACGATTTTCGGTATAAAAACTATAAGTAGACATAAAAACTAAAAGTAGACATGAAAGCACTATGAAAACACCCTATTTCGCCAATTTTGAATCTGCCAAAGGTCTTAAATTTTTATTCAGAATGAGATAGTCAGTCACTATACCTATATGTTTGAGAAATCCATTGTTCCTTTTTATTGTGAGATAGAGGTTAAGTTATATTAGAATAGCGTGAGCTAGACTTCGCCTCTCAACATTTTACTTGTATTGTAATATGTACATTACAAAAACAATAAAGGCAATTTATTATTATTATATTATATTTTCCACTCTGTCTAGATCTTTTCTTTAATAATCTGAGTAAAAAGGCGAATTCACATTAATTCAGGTATTCATGGTCTTGAATGAACGTACTGGGGATGTACAAATGCGCGGAACTGGACGTCCCCAGTACGTCTACGGTCCTAAACTGGACGTCCCCAGTACGTTCTCAGTACGTTTTGGAGACGTACTGGTGCTATATGGGTAGTATGCTTGTATTTTACTGAGTATAGGTAGCTCAACTCTTCTAGAGTACTTATTGAAATTGTCGTTATTCACTATAACTCTCTTGAAGTAAATAATTTCAGCCAGAAGTGCGATGATGCTTATGATATAACCAATGAACAGGGCTACCAGTGCGCCTGCAAACTTTCTCATATTCATCAAAGCCTTCGAATTACCAGAGACTTCAGTCTGAACCTCTGCATTCAAGATGTTCTGCATCACATCATCAAGCCACTTATGAATCAGTCCTGCTTCTATAACTCTCCTCATATATTTATCAACTCTGGGTTTCAATGGAGAATTTCTCTGCAACCCTGGTTGAAATAATTTTGGATGAACATACGAGTTTAACAGAAATTAATACAAGAATAATAACCTACCAATTGAAACAGGCATGTTGATTATGCATTCATTCATGATATGCAGCATTCTATCTTCTTTTTTCCCAGTTTTTTCTGAATGATTCGATTTGTTTTCGACTAATTGTTTCTGAAATCTCTGTTGTCTCTTTACTAAAGATTCTTTCAAAAAGTGAATATTTTCGTAAAATGCATATGAATCTTCTGCAACACGATCAACTGCCTTTTCCGAATCATTTACTAATACGAAATTTTGTGCAATTTGTTGCATAGTCAAGTCCGGTGACGATTTGAAAAATTCACTGTTTATTTCACCCCATCCACTCAATGTCAAAGAACTGTCCACAAGTTCTTCAAGAGTATCGATTTTGACTCTGAAAAAAAAGAAAAAAATTAAGGTGAAAATTGGTAAACTTCCGATAACACAATTACATAACTAACCCTCAATAACTGAGCTTATAAGCTTGGCCAAATTTCAATAGTTGACTGTGACGACATTGAATTGAATTGAATTGAATTTATTTAGTTCAGAAATATTACAATATTATGAAACACGTCAAAGTAAAAATAGGACAATGGTCAAATTAAAAAAGGACATTAGCCAAAGTAAAAATATGACAATAGTCAAAGTAAAATAGGACAATAGTCCAAGTATAAGTAAGTATATAAAAATAAAATGAAAATATAAAATATTATATTGTACATGGGTTTACCTAGTTTTTGTTAAGATGTCTCTGTTTTTGAATAACTTGCAATATTCGTCAAATGAGTATATGCAGTTCTCTGCCAGAATGATTTTCAGTCTTATCGAAAATTTGGAAAATGATAGATCACGAAATTCGGTTGGTAATAATGCATTGTACCATTCAACACCTCTGTTTGTATGCCTACGTAATCTAGTGTATGGTTGCAATAGCATAGATTTGTTCCTTGTGTCATGTCTGTGGAAATCGGATTGTGATTGATAGTTGCTCATGTTTTTTTTACATGCAATAGGTTATGGTACAGAATGGTCGAAAATATGGTCATGATCTTTAGTTCCTCAAATATAGGTCTGCAGCTGACTTCCCAATTAACTTTTTTTATACTGCGTAATGCAGCTTTTTGAATGATTAAAATTCTTTGTGAATAGCAATTTGATGCATTGCCCCATATTAGGGCTCCATATGTTAATACAGAGTGGAAGAGTGCAAAATATGTTGTGCGCGTGCAGCTGATTCGCCCAGTGAATAACAAATTTTCCTGATAGCGTACACTATTCTTGAAAGTTTTCCACACAATATATTTATGTGTTCCGACCATTGCAACTTCGTATCTAATACAACTCCCAGGAAATTGACATGGTCGTTTGAATTTTCAGATATAACATTTTCAAAAGTTTGACTTTGACTTTTACTTTCATTTAGTAGCATATCATTGTGCTCGAACCAAGCCCTAGCCTTCTCCCAATTCAATGCCAAACGTAGTATCGTCCGCATGCATAATGGTTAATGCGTTTATAAAATTCATAGTATAAGGGAGATCATTTATGTAAATCAGGAACAGGAGGGGACCCAAAACTGATCCTTGCGGTACTCCTCTATTCACAGTAGCTATATCACTTCGTTCTTCGCCATTTACTACGATTTGCTTTCTTTCATGTAAGTATGACTTCAATATGTCTAGTGCTTTACCACGTATTCCGTAGAAATTGAGTTTTTCCAGTAATATATTGTGATTCACACGGTCAAAAGCAGATGTCAGATCCGTAAAAACAGTCAAATATTTTTTACTGTCATTGAAGGCTTTTTTCATAGAACTTGTTAAGGAGAGTACCGCATCAGCAGTGGACAGCCCCTTTCTGAATCCATATTGTTGTGGAAATATAATTTTATGAATATCCAAAAAATATGTCAAAGCTGAGTGTATTGCCATTTCCCATATTTTGGAGAAGACTGGGAGGATAGATATCTGTCGAAAATTACTTGGCAGTGACGGGTCTCCTTTTTTATATGCAGGAATTACTTTTCCCATTTTCAATTTTTCTGGAAAAACTCCTTCGTTGAGGCAAGCATTGATAATATCTGTAAGAGGTTCCAATAGATGAATTCCAGAATGTTTTATAACAAATGTGCTGAAACCGTATATGTCTTCTGTTTTTTTGGATTTAATTTTGTTAAAGAATGTTCTGATATCATCCGTGACCAATGGTTTCAGAAAAATTGTACTTGAAGGGCTGTGGTTTTTGTCTAGTAAATCTAATTGTCAGATTGACAATGGTGTTTAGTAGGAGATTCTGAATGATTCAAGTAGAAATCATTGAGTTCGTTTGAAGTTAAATTTTGAGGGTAAATTTTTGCTTTTTGTTTTCTACCTGTTTCTGTGTTGATGATTTCCCACGTGGTTTTATTGTAGTTGTTTGAATTTAATAAAATTTTTTTGTAATGATTTTTTTTTTGTACTCTCCAATAGAAGGTGATACTCTTTTTTACATTCATTGTGGATTGTTTTATTTCCGTCTGTTGGATTTTTTATATAGTAATTTTGGACGAATTCTACCCTGTTTTTTGCTTCGATTGTTTCCGGTGTTATGACATGATATTCTTTCTGTTTGCCAGTATTTGTATTTTTGTTAGTTTTAACAAAAGGAAAACATATTTCATAATAATACGTGAATATTTCACTGAATAAATTATATTTCTGTTCTGCAGATTGGGCATTGATTACTTCATCCCATGATTCCTGATGTGCTAAATGATAACATATACCGTGACCAATCCAATACAACTATATATGAACGTTAAATCAGTGCTGGATATGAATTCTTGCTATGTGCAGTTATTCGCGATAGAAAATAACACGTTGCCCCACCTGACGGCAACAACTTGAACACTTCTGAGCGGTTTGTTTTGATGATGTGACCAATAAGCACACACAAAAAACAAATGTGAACCAATGAAAACGAAGTAAACAGGCCGCTTTGACAGCAGTCAAGAACTCCGATAGGAGGCGTATGCTAATTTTCTATCGCGAATATGCTTTCATTGGTTGTTAGGAAATATGATAAAGCAATGGTGCTTATCGGAATATAACGTCATCAAGAGTTAGCGTTTTTGGAAAGTGCCGACTTTAATTATTGAAAAAGAGTATTTTTGATAATTGTGAGTATTGATCAATTGAATATATTACATACATAGAATACAATAATAAAACTAGAACTTTGTATGAGGTGTCCCACCCTGTATAATTCACTACCGTAGAATCGAGTTGCTTGGAACTAAGGGGGTAAATTGGAACAAATCTTCATATTTTCTAATTACCCCCTGAAATCTATAGCAGATTTCATTTTGAAACATCGTACCGTGCATCAGTATGGTTATATACATGTCGATTCAAAATGAGTACCGTTTCAATATTGTTTTAATAATGTTAGGGATGTGACAGAAAAAAATTGCATTAAAATCTTTAGGTAAGTCAAAATTCATGATCAATTCAATACACGGCGTTCATTCCATATAATATTATTTAGATCATGTTTATAGTAACCATTTCACTAGCGAAATGCCGCGACATCACTGCTCAACTTTGAACAGTGTTGCCAGGCGCGATTCGCGAATGTTTGTACCCGCCTAGTATGATGAAAGATATTTGTTATAAAAACACTGTTCGTATTATGATTGAGAATAACTGATAATGTAATACAGTGACAATAAAAATTTGATTCAAGTATGATTTACAAAAAAAACACTCATTTGATTCTCGACACAAAACCCTATCAACTGTTGTATTAATTAATCTTATAGTTATTAGTTGGAATCATTAATATTAGAATAGCTTTTCTTTCTCTTTCCGTATAACTTGTGTTAGAAACACTCCAGAGATACCCACCAAATTACATTAATCACTAGTATTATATTATCATTATTATTATATAATATGTTGTGTGATTCAGTACCAAATTACCATCACCCCGTATTATGTTTAGAATATCGACGGGTGCTGGTTTTATGAGTTTATGACTAAGAGATATTGAATGCATGATTGAGGAGTTACATAAGCTAGATAAGAGAGGGTGTTAGGGAATAGTTAGGATGGGTAGTTGAGTTGAGACTATAGAGAGCTGTAAAGGTGTTATTGTCCTAGAATACAAACTTGATATTTGAAGACGTGGATATTATTTAAGCAGCTTCTCAGTTGCCTCCTTTAACACTTGGGAATAAGTATAGTTGAATCACCTATATGTAACTATCATCATGGATAACAAAATTTCATTTGATAATAAAAATGTAGAGACATGCCCATGCTCGACCGTTAGGTCTTAATGGGCTTTCTCCAGTTTCTCCTTATGTTTACTATTACTATCGCCATATTTATTAGGATATCCGAGATGTAGCATGTGATTTCATGATGTATGAATAACGTGACCATTTATTCTTTGACTCAGAACGGGACATTGGTTCATTTAGGTCAATTAACAGGTAGGTAATAATCAATGAAAAAATAACATGTTTTCAAAGTTAAATATTCATTCAGAAAAAGTTAGCTTAAAAGTTACGAATTGAAAAATACACCCAAAATGTTTAGTTATTTTTATATTCATCAGAAGAACAAATTTGCTTTAATATAGCTGATGATGATTTCAAGTAAGAACGAAACTCGTGGCACGTTTTCTTTATATTCACCTTGAATATCAACATAGCCTTAAGAACTGTAATTTTTAACTGGGTCTCCACAATTTATGACAGAAAATGACTCTTTCTACTGGAGCATTTATAGAAGGCAAACATAAAATATATTCAATCAAAATAGAGAAGTGTTCATGTTGAAGATTGTTGGCGTGAAAGTGTGTGAATATTTCTACCCAACGAGTTTCCGTAGAAACATTCAGATTATTCCATTCGGTTACTTTTAGCGATATAATGTAGTTAGAAATTGATGAAAATTCGTCAAAAACTTCGGTATCTTTATTACAGTCAATATATTCCTTTTCAATGAATACATCCAGATATTTTTGAACGACTGCATATGCGGGGACCTTCATTTTCAAATCTGCCCAATAAAAAATCTCCATTTCTTTGGTAGGAAGGCAAGTCCACTGCTCCAGATATACGCGGCTTGTTTTATAAAATTCTGTGGCCGTCCTTTTCACAAACTCTTCATCTATATCAGTACCATATTATCTTTCGATTTCACTATCAATTGACGGACCGAAAATGGAAGAAACTGATTGGTCTGTTTCTAACTCAAATTGTCGTTTAGTTGATTGATTTCTTTTGCAGCTTCAATTGCCGATACAGTCTGACCTTCAAGTTTCAATACAGCTCGATGAGAGCTTGCTGACTGAGCGTGCAAAAAATAAAGCCACAATTCGGATGTCGGATCTTCAAAGAAGTTTTTCAGTATAACAGGGGACATTTTTCAATACTTAAAAAGTAGTTTTTCGATGGCTGATACATTTTCAAAACCCTCTCCAAGGCAGGCATAAGAGCAAGCCATCGGGTTTTGCTATAGCCGAGCATTTGTTGATATTCCGGTCTTGCTCTCGCACACTACTCGTCTACTTGACTACTCAAATGTTTGCGAGATTTCAGAAAACGGGACAATTTTCCGTCCCGGACTTCATTCCGGGGACATCGGGACTCGCAATCATAACAAGGGACAGTCCCGTTCAAAACGGAACGTCTGGTCACGTTATGTATGAAGCAATGAAAGGAATAATGAACATATATTCCTCTTTGTTATTATAATTGGTACCTGATAAGACCTTCCCTCTCCACCTACCACTGTTCACTGTTACAATTTCTCAAATCAGCAGATGACTTAAAACAGCTAGGGAAAATAGGGGAAATATGCCTATGATGACCAACCACCTGTATTTTCAAATATAGCGCCCTCACGTTCCTACCGCCACACTCAATTCAACATCAAGCCTTTTTCATTCAGTTTATTAGTGATTTTACGAAATAAAATCCAAACTGGTGGGTGTTGATTGTTGATCTAAGGAAACTGTTCTAATTTTTTGCAGTTCCCTCTCATAGTGAAATGCATAATTTGAATCGGTTTTTGCCTTCAAATTGATTGTAGAGTGAATAGAAGAAAAGAATGTTATTTGATCAGTATCAATACGGTCATTTGCCAATGATGCACCCCCAATTGAGTTTTCATCATAAGCATATTTTTGGTGAGAATTATGATAGCTAACATTGAAGAACAACTGACAAGTAGTCGATAAGTTACTCAATAGTATTAAATGAATTCATAATAAGAAAATTATGAGGCGAATTCCTTAGGGGGACATCATAGGCACATTTCCCATTTTTTTTAAATATCGTCCTAACGACTGAACAGACCAAGATGAATATTCGTATAATTATCAACTCATACCTACATCTTTTATGATAGTGTAAAATTTCCTGCCATGATCAATAACTTAGCCACGTACATACATTTGTATCTGTATGTATACATGTATTTGTATCAAGTATCCCCATTCTATGGCATGTTACCTACTCACTTTGGAGCTGGCTTGGCTAATATGGCTGTCATACTGGCCCTGTAAGAAGTGACAACCAATAGGCAGTAAATCCAATACCAGCCGATCAGAACCCTGAGAGACCAACCACTAGGCAGTTTAGGCAGAGAAACCAACAATATCATGCTGTAAGTATACAAGGCGCTGTTCACAGGCTCCCCGAATTGGTATAAGCCTACTGGGTCTTCTTCATTCCTTATAACCTGGTACTTTTCTTTCATCATGGTGTACTTGACGTTAGGATCTAGTTTTTCCACTTCGGGATACAGGGACAGTGTTAAAACTTTCCTTATATTGGGTACTTTGGTAGGGTGTAACCTGGATTTTTGTTCAGCCAATTGGTTTTTCATTGCTGTTATTTTGATGTGGAATCGGGCGATGTAATGGAAAGATATGATACAAAGAGATAAGGAGATGAGCACTGTTGTCCATAGTATTGGCCTAAAAATTCAAAAATTTAGGTCTACATTTCGATTCCTACAACTCATTTGATAATGAGAAAGAAAATTGAATACGAAAGTTATTATTTGTTCCAACAGTAGGTGTTCGTTTTTCCACATTTTTTAATAGATCCAATATTTGGCGAGTGGACTGGTACAGTGAATAATAGGCGTTCAATTAGTTCACTGTATCGTTAGGGAACTGAATTCATTTTTGCAACGCTTCTTACGCATTTTTGATGGACTTCAATAATGCGTCTATGCATTGTTCGGAGTTGTTAAATTTCAGAGCCGTCAATGGCCGCCATTTGGCCATATGATGACATCTGTTCTTATGCTGTTTCATTCCCAGCGAGCACAAACATCCCTGGGATGTTTTGGGATGTTTTGAAAATGTTGGCATGAAGATGTTATTTTGAGACGTAATATGCACTGACCAAAGATGTCTTTGAAGGATATTGAAGTATTGTTTTTGTTCTTCTGTGGCATTTCTTTGTTTGCCTACTGAGAGGTATCCCTGGGATGTTTTGGGATGTTTTAGAAATGTAGGCATGAGGATGTTTTTTTGAGGCGTAATATGCACTTCCCAAAGAGGTCTTACAAGGATATTGAAAGTATTTTTTATGTTCTTTTGTGCCCTTTCTTTGTTTGCCCCACCACAACGTCTCATGCTTACGTCACAATACGATGAATTTTGATTTGTTTTCGATTTTGTTCTTCTTGTTCGCAATTGGCATTCGCGTTTGCAGCGTGTCACGCTTACATCACGCTGCTAACGAACAGAAAGGAATTTGCTGAAGTTTATTGTGTTAGAAGACTTATTTAGTTTGTACATTAAATTTAATCTATGGTTTGTAATAATGACCATCAGATGCAAGATGTGTTGTTCGGTGCCTCAGTGTAATCAATATATAAAAGTACGAATTCATCAATACACAGCTTCTCCGCAGTTGCAAAATTATGCATTGTGGAGAACATTTCAAAAATTGGGAAACCTATTTCCAATTATATGTCTGTGTGTAGTAAGCACTACTCAGAAACCGATTAGGAAGGTAATTTCATATCAAGAAAATATTTTTATGTTCAATCTATTTTTAATGCATTTTTTCATTCAAGGGAAATGGAATCCTAATGCAAAAGTTCATTTTGACAAAAGGCTTCAGAAAAGTACCTCGAAAATGGTTTTTTTACAGCGATTTAATGTGCGCAAGACGCGTTGAAAATGTTTTGTTGTGTCCATGAAAAGGCTTCAAAAAGAACTAGGGAGAAGGTAGTTTTGTGACATATCAAGGACATCTCGATAATTGCGGCTTGCGGCGGGCATTGGCTGTTCTATAATAGTTCTATTTATGTGTGAACAGAACATCGCAGTGGAGGTTCAATGTCTCGAAATCTCGTACTTTTAACATCTCTGAGATGTTTTTGTGCTCGCTGGGTTATTAGTCAGATAATCTTCCATCCCCACCAATGAAGCAAAGTTACCAATTAGAATCTAGTTATATAAATTTGTAAGTAGGTACCCTGCTGTCGTTGAATAAAACTAAACCCAAATTGAATATTTCATTTGACCCCAAGTACAGTCGTGGACAAATAATTATTATAACAGGGATCTTCAATTTTCAGTTTTCCTAATGTCAAATGAGTTACGATAAAACCATTGTTAAAAATAAATTTATATATCGAAGACAATAGTGGTAGTGGACAAAGTATATTATTCTACTCGCTTAAAATGAGCTATTATTCACTCTGGGTAATTATGCCACCCGCTACGCTCGTAACATAAACGTAACCTCCGTGAATAATAGCCCCCTCACAATATGCTTGTTGAATAATATACTATTTATTCATGAAATGAACAACAATGGTAGTTTTCGAAAAAAAAAACAACTACTCTCCTGGCTAATGCCACGCAGAACATTGAATTACATCCTCCCGAAATCTATGCATCGACTCGTATAAACGAATACTGATACAAGTGATTTTTTCCTGAATGCCTACTGATTTTGAATCAGCCAGGCCACGCTAGACCCCCACAGACCGGTTTCGAGCTCTTTGACTCTCATCAGTGCAGGGTAGCCTCCAGCCAGCAGCCCTAAGACCGCCGACTCAGCGTAGCCTAGCCAAACAAAAATCGAGTCGGCATTATATTTGAGCTTCTTATATTTATTTAACATTTAATTGTGTTTTAATGCTAGGCAATGTGCCATCTGACGGCATATATCACGTGATTATCAAGTGTGATTATTTGGAAGTAGTATTGAAGGTTATAATAATTGTTCATCCAATTATGGGACTGAATATCATATGATTATTTGTTTATACAACCGAATATAGTAGAAACATATCTTCCGAGTCGTTCTGGCCAAATTAATATTTTGACATATCATACTTGGCGTCAAAAACATATCATTTTTGACAGAATGAAAATGAAGGTTAAAATCCCAATTCCACTTTGAGCATTGTGGCTATTTCATTGTTGAAGTTACGCCAGTCGGGCAACCAGTCACTCCCGTATGTGAATTTCAGCTTTGGAGTGATTCTTTCCTTCTGTTCTACTCAGATGGCGTTGCTTTCATATTGTCGATGAAAGACGCCTCTGGGGGAATATGATGCCGACTTGATTTTTGATTGGGCAGGCTACGCTGAGTCGGCAATCTTAGGATTGCTGACCGGAGACTACCCTGCACTGATGAGAGTCAAAGAGCTCGAAACCGGTCTGTGGGTGTCTAGCGTGGCCTGGCTGAATCGAAATCAATAGGCATTCAGGAAAGAACATTTCTCCCGAAATCTATCATTGTTGTTCATTTTGGATGAGGGAGAACGCAATTTGTACTGTCTAAGTAGCGGCTGGACTCTACATACCTATAGATAAAACTAGTAAACGGAACCTCACAACTTTTGTATTCAACTTTATTAATATTAGTTTGGTACATTTTGAATTCAAATAGTCGAAGGGGTCAAAATATTTCAATTTTACAGTATTCTATTAGGAACTTCATGATTGCTTACGAAAAAGGTAATATGAGGGTTTTCCATGAGTTGTCATTCAGTGACTCGGGAGTTATGAATGTAAGACACTCGGTATTATAAGGAACGCTCAGATCCATCACATCCAGAATATAGGAGGTATAATAAAGATCTGCGAGAGCTATATCAGCTTTTGTACTGACTATTTCTCCAATTAATCCAGTATATAGCCCTCCAACCATTTTTTGACCCCACATTTCAGTATCTGCATTCTCAGGTTCATAAACTTCATACCTGAAGTTCATTGCTTTGGCGACGCTTTGAAGAATCTGAAATGAGACCCATTTCAATAGGAAACGATTAGGTAGAGCTGAAAGACAAGGATATACATACTTCCGCTTCAATTCCAGAAAATGTAGCATTGTTGCTATTTTTTTTCAAAATTGCTCTAACAGTTTTGTGAGTCGTATTCATTTTTATAATACCTGGCATATGAGCAAATAGAACCACTTTCAGGGTTTGGTTTTGTAAATCAGAAGTTTTAGCACTGAAAAGTTCTTCATCTGAAATTAAATCAATTATATTAAAATACTCTCTTATTTTGAGATTGAGGCACATACTTTTTCTGAATTTCGACTGTGTCCAGATATCCAATCTTCTAGGAATCATGACTTGGGTTATAGGAACAGGAAAAGGTACAGTTGTAATTTCAAACCAACTCAAGTCATTTTTATTATTATTTTTGAATGTTCTACTGGAGTATTTCCTGATGAAGATAACATTGATAATTTTCTTCCACAAATAAAATAGTTTTTCCTCAAAGAGTCTGTGGTCATACAAAAGAATGTATTTGGATAAAGTATCCAGAGCTCTATATCTGGAAAGCATTCGCGTTAGTTATGGAGGAAAATTCAATAGGTAGATGATTATTTTTCTCATAAAGAAAATTGAATTTATTGAGGATCATTCATTATACCTTGCTCAAACCTCCATCTAGAGAATAAATAGTAGTTTGAAAAACTAAAAAAACCTCGCTCCATAGAAAGCCGAACTAAAGAAGAGTTGGAAATAAAATGATGAAAGTGTGTTGACTAGTGGTAACATGACGAAAACTATCTTGGTAGTAAAAACAAACTTTACACCTCCAAAAGGAGTAAATAACGGTAGGTTTTATAGCTAGTGGTGGGAAGAACATATTATGCATGGCGACATTTGAAAAAAAGGTTGACTCTCACTGACGTTACTGTTGATAATGGAGAAAAATATTATCAGAGCCTACTCATAATTATCTGATGTGTAATTTCATTCGCTCTTTTGTTCCAAAATCGGATCATTAATAGCAGTCTGTATATGTAGATTTCTTAAATACTTGATATGGCATGAAGAAAGTAAAATAAAATTTTCTCTAAATTATTGTTATTCTATGTCTTTTTAATGTTCTGGTTCCCACGAAAAGGGATATCCTGTAATGTTCAGAGAACAAAGGGAAATAAGGTAGGAATTGGCGTTCTTCTTGAATTTGCTTCAGGGAACACCTCCCTTGGCAATGTGTTCCAGAGCTTCGCTGTTCGTTGGATGAACGAGTATTTGGAAAGAGTTGTTCTGCAGGTCTCCAAAGTGACCACGAAGGGGTGCGAAGGCTCAACTCGACGGGTTACTCTCGCGGGGACTGCCAAGGGAGGAACAATTTATTGTTGATATTTCAGAAGAGCATCGTCCATGAAAATATCTATAAAATAGAGTCAGAATCGCCAACTTTTCTACGGTGTTCCAGAGAAGTGAGTGAGTTTGTGAGCGAGGCATCACCCACGAGACGAATTGCCCTTTTTTGGACAGAATCCAACAGTTTCAGGGTATGTTTGGGTGTTGCACTCCAAATATGGGAACAGTATTCCAGGACAGGTCGGATCTGTGCCTTATAGATCATAAGCAGCTGACTGGAAGTGGAATAGCTCCAGGCCTGAAACAGAAAACCGAGTTTTTGGGATGCACTTTTAGCAATTGATCTCACGTGATTTTCCCAAGAGAGGTTATTGCTGATAGTAATACCAAGCATCGAAATGAATGTCTCCAAACGTATATGGTTACTCCTGACAAGTTTATGTTGGGCACACTGAGATCGGCTTTTCTAGAGGTCTAGGGGTCTGATGTGGGTCCCGGGTGGATGGCTATTACATACAAAAAAAATTTCTGCCATCCAGTATGCCTACATTTTAAAATCATGAGGTTCACGAGGGGGGTCATGGTCCACATGATCTTCCCCTGGATCCTTTCCTGACTGTATATGAAGTTGGTGAAAAATTAGGTAGGTACCTGTCACCAAATTCCAATAATCTAGCTGCTTGTAAACCATTAGTTATCAACATGATATACATTTGACAGCCTTTTCCTTTGGCCAGTAGTAAACTTTCTTGAATTTCCTCACTAGGAGCGTATAGATCATCAGATTCTTCAGCATGAATCTGTAATTCCAAATATACAATATAATTAATCTGAGTACCTATTTCAATTTTTTCAAGTGATCACCGTGATGAATGGAATAGCAGATCTGAATCTCTTGAACCAATTGGCATCAAATATGTCCGAGTAAATATCATCCGAAAAAACAACTACACACTTAGCTGGTTCCAGAGTTTTCACCATAATTTCTTGTAAAAGTAGGCTGAATTTATCGCCACCATACAATTCGAACAAGTCATCAGCTATTCTGTTGAAAAGAATCAATTTTAGGGTGTTTTTTGATGACAAACATAAGGATACATAATACATAATATAGCAACTACACAGGGTGGCCCTAAAAGTTCATTTAAAAAACTTACCATATATATCTCAGACCAAAACAATTCGATTCAAGCAAACTTACCTCAGTACAAAGTTGCTTAGTTTGGATGCTAGATGGCTCACGATTTACAATTTTCAAATCATTATTGCTTCATATATAACTTTGAAACGGCTCATGAGATTCAACTCAAATTTGATACATTATTGGCATAGCTTTATTGAGCAATAAAACCCAAATTTGCATGACTTGTTGACTTCAAAAAAAGAATCCTTGATACAATTCGATTACTCTGATGGTTTCGAAAAAAAAGTTGAATTTTAGTAATTCAAAATATCAGTCAAACTAAAACGACAGGTATTTCATGAAAAATGTTCAACATTTCCATCATATTCACGTATACAGATTTATACCACGAAAAAAAAATTAAATGTGCTATCAGCTATTTTTTTACTGAGTAGGCCATAGTCGTCTAGCGGCCACACTGAGCAACTATATACTGGGTGAGTCGGGAGGAACGCACCAAACTCCAGGTGTGGATTGTACAGGTATAAATAATTTTGAAAAGCCCATTTACTCTTATACGATTCTCATTTGTTTTCATTCTAAATTTGAATAAGAGTGTGACATTTTATAAGACTTTAATTGTACAAACTCGAAAATAAACGCGTCAAATATACTGACACTGACACGAACTAATGTCAGAACAACAGAACAGATACACTAAAAGTGCATTTCCAGTCCGATTTCAAAACAGTCTGCGGAGCGGCTAAAGCTGGCACATCGTGTGACTTTTCATTCAACTATGAAGCTACGTTTGTTGTTGTATTTGATACGATAACTGTTTTTTTGTGGAAGTTACAAAGGTTTTAAAAAAAACGTTACATTTCTACCTTTTTTGCTATGGCAATAACAAATTTCCTCGGAAATTATTTTTTGCAAAGCTGGCTGTGACAGACCAACCAGAGTAGTTGACAATTTGTATGCTAGTGTTTATCATCGAATGGTTGAATAAGATATCTTTCAGCAACCGACTCCTGCCAGAGCTATTGCTTTGGTGCAGAATGGTAGATCACGATATTATATATGTGCATGGCCATCAGAGCCTTGGGAGTTTCAAGATCTAGGGTGCAAAGAGCTGTAAAACGGTTTCGTGAATTTGGTGTATTCACAAGAAGAGATAATTGTGGTCGGAAAAAAATCTGCGAATGATTGAAATAATCGCTTTATAACGCTCAAAGTTTTTAGAGACAGAAGATTCACTTCTGTCCAAACGAAAAAGACATTAGCGGAGGTGAGGCATGTTTGAGTCAGTGGTAGAACAACAAGAAGGAGGCTTTTCGATATTGGACTCCGAGCAAGAAAACCTGCAATTGGTCCAGAGTTAATGAGGAATCATAGAGTTAAACTCCTCAGATATGCTAGGGAACAGGAATATTTGGGTAATGAACAATGGAGCAATATCCAATCCACCATCGAGTCAAGGTTTTATCTCAGATCACCGGATGGACGTGGAAGAATTTACCTAAGAACTAGAGAACGTTTTTTTCAAAACCAATGTTAGCCAAGAGTGAGTTGAGGAGGCGGTTCGATAATAGTGTGGGATGCCGTGAGTTTTGAAGCTCTGACGGACCTAGTCATAGTGGAAAGGGGATCCATCACTGCCGATAGGAATAAATAAGAGACGTTTTAGTACCAAATGTTGTCCATTTGCGCCGTTTACGGTAACGATTTCATGTTGTTCTTCTTAACTCACACAAGTCTCTGACTTTCGAGGGTTGCTTCGCAACTAAGCTGGCGGTTAAAAACACTTTTAAACACACACACTTTTTTTTTTTTTTTTTTTTTTTTTTTTTAAACACTTTTAATCCCAGTAATAAAATTTGCTTCCTCGAAGCCCAGACTGGAACCCAAATGAACATGTTTGGGATGCTCTTGGGATAAAAGTACGATCCCATTCACCAGCTCCTGCAAATTCACAGGAACTCAGTGAAGTTTTAATAGAAGAAAAGTAGATAGTTTTCACCGGTTCTGGGTCTCCGCCCAAGGCCAGAGGAGTGCGACCTTGGGCGGAGTGGCCTTGGAGTGCGACCTTGGGCGGAGTGGCCTTGGAGGTGACCTTGGGCGGGAGTGACCTTGGGCGGGAGTGACCTTGGGCGGGATTTTCCTAGGGCGGAGTGACATTGGGCGGGAGTGACTTTGAGCGGGATGGTTTTGCGAGGAGAATTCTCAACAGATTGGCCTTGAAGGAATATGGACGACCTCGATGTGTAGGAATTACGTCAATCATGTTATAAGCTACTCAGAGAGATAGAGTGGTGGCATTGAGTTTTGCAGGTGATCTATAGGGTGAAGTAACATCGAGATTGATGTACCCTCGGATTATTCGCATTTGCCATATGCGAGACTTCGTCAGTGATGTTGTTGTTAGGTACCCATAAGCTCGGACAGGGTAGTGACCTCTGATGTTGCGGACGATCCCGTGAATTCGGACAGAGTGGTAATTTTTTGGTTTGAGAAGTGGAGTAACCTTGAGGGGTATTGATTCACGCGATGAGTGACCTCGGATTATTTGAAAAATTTCGTTTTGTATTCGATATATGCGAGATTGCGTCAATAATGCTGTTAGGTATCATTAAGCTTGGACAGATTGGTGACATTGGATGTTGCGGGCGATATCGGGAGCAGATTAACCTCGAGAGGTCTTGATTCACCCGATGAGCGACCCCGCACCATGAGTGAATCATTTATCCTCGAGAAATGTATATTTATTCTGAATATGTTAACCAAAAATGTTTTTTTCGATAGGAAGGTGACCTTGCAAGAAAACCGATTCACTGAATGAGTGACCTCAGGCAAATTGTGGATTGCATTTAATATAGCCAGAACTCTTGGAAAATGTATATATTTAAAAAAAAAAAATTCTTTCTTGACGAGATTTGAACACCTTGCGAGAGAGACCCGATTCACCCCGATGAGTGACCTCGGACAGATTATGGATTGTTTTTGATTCAAAATGTATATAAGTATGCAAGATTATGTTGATGAGTCACATACCTGAAGGATAAAAAGTTCCTATGGGCATTTTTTGGTCATGAGAAACTTTGTTTTTTGAGGTTACAGGGGCGCTGAAATTGAGAATAAACTCGCGATGATTTTCATATACACCCTCCTATATGATAAAAAATAATATCCCTTGTGGTTATCCAGTAATAATCATAATATTATGTAGGTTCTGAAATTTGTTTTTTTTTGTCTTTCCGTTTGCAAAGTATTCGGGAATTTATTTATAAGTAAATTACTTCTTATACAGAGTATTATAATGTTTTTGATTTGCCGAATTTCTAACTATAAAACAAATTCCGAACACTTCAGCTGTATGGTGTCGTTCATATTGAATAGTCGTATAATATGTATCTATACAATAATTTGAAACATATTCTGAAATATGTGCACTATAGATTTATGAATTACATGTAATAAAATATACACCTTCATTCATTTTCTTCCGTTACAGTCAATTATGTTGCGAACATGTGCGACTAAATCACCAGTATTAGCACCGTTGAGTAGTTTCAATGTATTATTATGGGCTTTGTATGGAATTTTGGACGTTCTCAATGCTTCCTTAACGCAATTTAGTACATTGACGCCATTCGGTACATAATTCGTACGATACACTTCCTTGGCATATGGATGGCGTTTATGTAGATGTTTCAATGTGTTGGTGAGTGAGCGACGTTGACAGCGTGTGAAAACCACTTCACCGTAGCCGTGTTCCAACTCATGTAAGGCAATGGTGTGTAATAAGCTACTTTCCTGAGGTTTAGCTATCACATCCTGAACGATATCGGTTAGACGACGTGACAAGGCTATCGCATCATGGCGGGCTGACTCTACATATTCAGTTGTTGTTTCCATCAGATGTTTATTAAAATCTATAAGCATTTGATGTGTGAGTATCAGTTGATTCTGCATCTTCTGATTTTCTTTGATGACGGCAGCAGCGGTGGCATTGAACTGCCCACTTTTTCGCAATGCTGGTAATACATCCTCGTAAATCCATTTCGTAAACTTGATGGCTTCTGGTTTTTTTGAACGTGTGATGAGGGCATAAAGGCCGGGCTCTGAGATCAATATTGTATGCGGCTGCCAATTTGATGGAGTTGCAACAGGGGTATCCAATTTTTGGATACCCTTCACACAATCTTTCCACGCACGTTTCCATTCGCTGCTAACGTTATCTGAAACAGCTTTGGTTGGGCGACGATATCCCAAATATCTCGCTATGTCACTTCCTTTGAACCAGAATTCCCCCGTTGATGATGATCGATCGTTGTTTTTTTCAGTGATAAATATGTAGCATTCGAATGCTGCAACTACAGCGTTGTCAATGAAGAATTGTCTACGCACCAGAGGCATATTATTCGCGCTGATGTGCCGACCAAACCCTTCAACGATATATTGGCTTCTAACAGCGACCCTTGAAACACCTTCTACTTTATTCTTAAACTTGTTACTTCAAAATTGAGTGTAATTATCTCACCGGCCTCATAGAATTACGTAATAGGTAAAGGAAGGGGATTCACCCTTCATTATGAAAATTCGGTGCCAACATTCCAGAGACTTATTTTCCAGGTCAAAATAACACTTTATTTTCCTATAAGTATGTGTCCGCAAACGCTTCGTTGCCGACATACAGAGTATTGAAGTTTTGAGATTGCGCAATTGGAGCAATCCATGAAATGGATGATAGAAGACGTGAAAACAAAACGGAATGTGAGAATACAATTTTTGTCGAAAAAAAATATTTTGGATGATATTGAGCATCAAAGTTTGCCTGAAATGTTTGTAAATTATTGAT